GTGTGTGTGTGTGTGTGTGTGTGTGTGTGTGTGTGTTTTATTCAACGCTGAAGGAAGACAGATGCCTTTTATTCATTGGCTGTGAGGAGGATGGACAAATGTGTCCACTGGGGTTTACACACACACACACACACACACAGGTTGTGGGGGGCAGGGCACCAGATGAGCTGGTGATAGAGACAACAAGGAGCGTCCCTCTCCATCTGTCTCACACACACACACACACTAATGTTCCCCAGCTGGGGACTAGAGAAAGTGTGTGTGTTTAAATGTGAGTGAATATTAATGATCGTCTTAATGAAGTAGTTAATTTGATCCTCTGAGCGCTCGATGTCGTGCTGGAGGAGGAGACACGACGGACGATTAAACTCAACCAACCACAAAGTGTCTCCACATATTGTGTGTGATTTTTTTTATTTAAATTTTTTCCAGATTGTGTCTCATGCGTTTGTTTTGTTTTCCTCAGGACGTGTCGTGTCTCAACCGGGACACCAGCAAGGTGATCGTGGTGGACTGTAAGCGGGAGGCGTTCAGCTTGCAGCCCTTCAACGGAATGGCCCTGAAGAAATGGGACGGGAACTCGGAGGATCGGACGCTCTACGACCTCGCCAACTTTCTCAAGAGTGAGTCGCACAGCGAGACATTCAGGCGCCCGTCCTCGCCGTGTGTTGCTGCCTCTGCGACCGTCACTGGCCGGAGACATTATGTCAGGGTTGTCCGTATGTCTCTCCTTATGTCCCAGGAACGCAATACCTGAAGAATACCTCGACACACACACACACACACACACACACACACACACTTTGACACCAGCTGTAATAACAATGACTTCCTCGTTGGTTTGTGGTGACGTTTCCTCGTCTCTCGTCCTCGCAGCCATCGCTCTGAGCGGAGTGGACGACGTTCGTTCGGTGCTGGAGAACTATGCGCTGGAGGACGACCCCATCGAGGCCTTCAAACGCAGACAGGCTCAGCTGGCGCAGGTAGGAGGAGAAATGAAATGCACCCCGCCTCGGGGCTGTCTGCCTCCATGTTGTGTGATGCGTGTGATCTGATTGGTCGCTCTGTGTATGTGTCAGGAGGAGGAGCAGCGTCTGGCCGAACTCTCCCAGCAGAAGAAACAGGGACTCTCTCTCGGCTCCATCGCTTCCCGGTTCTGGCGCTCCAAACAGCAGTGAGCCCCGCCCCCTCGCACCAATCACAGTTCGGCTCTCTGCCAGCGTCAAGGTGAGGGGAGAGGCCGGAGGAGAGGAGGCGGGGTGGGTCTGCGGACTGTAGCTGGGCGCCCTCCGCTGTCGCAAGCAACAGCGGGCGTGTCTGCAGTGCTGAAATGGAGCAAGGACATTGGCCGTGGTGCGCACCGATGAGGGAGGAGCTTATTTTGTTAATTATTTTCTTGGTGGCAGGGCGTCAGTGGCGCCCTCCCTTGGTCATCGTGGCGTGCTGATGCATCTCAGGCCGCCGAAGCTCCAGGTCCTGTTGAAACTGTTGTTGGTCGGAGGCAGATCTGAGATCAGCACTGCTCTCGCCACGCCCGCTGTGGACGGCGCCGCCCATCACAGGATGTGACATCAGCAGGTCGCACCGAACCACACCCTCACAACGTCTGTTTTATTCCTCTGTGTCTCAGACGCTGCCGCAGACTTTGTTCATCCATGAAAATTGTTTCTAGAAAAATAAATGTAAATATCACAGTTTTCTGAAAGAGTTTATTCACTGTGTCGAACGGGCGGAGCTCCCGGTGGACGGGCGGAGCTCCCGGTGGACGGGCGGAGCTCCCGGTGGACGGGCGGAGCTCCGTTTGGCATGTGGACATTTTGAAGACTGGAACGGCAGCTGAGCCAGCGGGCGGAGGGACGACGGACGAACTGAAGCAAAAGTTTAACTTATTATTTTTACCTTTCGCCCAAACTCTGACAAACGTTTGACCAGCGATGTCTCGTCCCTCGTCAGCTCCGAGCGAAGACGTTTAAAAACACCTCACTAACGTAAAGTTCCATCTGAATAAAACTTGTCGTTACCCGTCGTTCAGTCGCAGGAGGAAGTAGATCCTGTTTCTGGACTGTTTTCAGCGGCGAATTAATCCACATCAGGTGTCGTGAGCGTCCAGACGAGTGTTTTAGCTCCGTATCAGAAATAATCTCCGTCCACACTAACACACCTGAAAACATGTCACATGACCATTCACGTCCGCTGGTCGTGTGGTGTAAACAGGAAGTAGATCGTCCTTATTTACCCTCACAAAGCGATGGGAGGCGGCTGGTGAACTGATCCCACGTCGCCATCGAGCCGACGCCCTCGAGTTGGAAGCTGTGATTGGTCGAATTCGTTCGGACGATCGCACCAAGCGGTGAAACATCGCGTTTCTTCGAAAGCTGCGTGAACGACACTTGTCGTTAGTTGTCAGTGTTCGATAACCGGGTCACGTGACAGAAGACGAAGAAATCAGGAACCAATCAGAACGAGAGCGTCTGCGTCATCGTTTACAAACGTCTCCGTTTCTGTCCAACCTCTGATTTAGAGGCTGGACATCTGGACGCACGGCGTAACCATAGCGACGGTGAGGACTGAAACACGTGGACGGAGACGTCAGCGCGTGTTTGTTGTTCTTCTCTCTGAAATAAGACGAGTCCGGAGCGAACGACCAACCAGAGAGAGGAGGTGCCTGTTCAGTAACCGTGACGACTCCGAGGCTCAGCTGCCGTTCTGCTCCGAGTGTTTGTGGAAGAATCGACTTGATCAATAAAGGAAACTAATCATGACGTTGATTCTTGTTGAGTTTGTTCTGAACTTCAGATTCTTCTCGTTGACACGAGACGTTTTCTTCAACAGAAATGTTTTTATAAACTTTTCCCATCAATCTTTCAATCTGTGGATTTCTCCTCATTTCTTTAAACTCAACCAGATTTTAAATTAGTTTATAAGTAATCGATTACTTGAGCCTGTTTGATTTTAACTGCTCTCTTATTAAAAACCAACTACATGTGTATTTAACCTGCGTCTTCACGGGGACGGTTTAATTTCTGTTCCTCTGCAGTCGAAGGGAACATGTGTCGTCCTGCTGTCCTGAGGATTTTCAGGACAACGTACAGGAGAACAGAGTTGAAACCTGAGTCATCCTCAGGAATCCTCACACTCTTGGATTTAAAGCAGAAACCCTGCAGAGCCTCCGGCCTGTAAATCTGTTTTTCTTTTCTCCTCTCTGCTGGACTCCTGCTTCACAACCGCCCGTCTTTTAATCTGGGAGACAGTGTCGGGACAATTACCACCTCGGAAACACAGAGGTCGTCTCGCCTGGCTCCGCGAGACCGGCGAGGTAACGAGTCCGAGTCCAGAGGGAATGATGGGAAACAGGAATCTTCTGTTGGTGCAGATGTACGAACTCCAGCAGCGGGGGAGTTCGTACATCTTCGTAGTTTTTAGTTTCTCAAATATAGAAACTAAAAAGAATGAAAGAGTTTGAGAAAGATTAAAGTCTTATTGGATAAAAACCAGAATCAATATATTTCATCAATATAAATTAATGTATTTAATATTTAAATCATATATTTAATTTTAACAAAATATGTCAGAGTTTTCATCATTTAGGTCAAAATGTGTAGAATTATCTAAGAACTTTTGTTTCACATTAAATCTCATTTTGATTTGGTGAAAGATTATTTTTAATTAATCCCCAAAGTTTTGATTTATTTCAATTTACATCCAAATATGTTATTTCAAACGTCTCAACTGCTCTAACTCGAACCTTGATTTTGATGTTGGTCTTAATTTTGACTTTCGATCTCATAAATTCGAGTTATGTTCAAAAAAATGATTTTAAGTTAATGGGATCTGATTTTGAATTGTGTAATTTAAAATTTTTGACTTTGAGTCTCAGTTCCGACTGTAGATTCTAACATTAGTTTCAGCTTCACCTTGAGTTATAGAATCTCTCTACATAAAGTATTTTTATCTGGTATTGATTATTAACATCAGACTCACCACAGGGGGCCGCTGACCTGCTCTCACACACCTCTGGTTTTTTATTGGGGGCCAAATAAAAACCAATTCGATCCAATGAATGAATAAATGTGTTAAAACAGAACCCTGAAGAATCCAGAGCCAAATAAAAAGAGAATGGAGTGAAAACACTAAAGATTTGTGCCAAACTGCGTATTGGAAATATATTGAAGACGATAAAACTTTACGAGCTCATAAAGTGTTTTTTGGAACCAAAGCAAAGACGAGGCTGGTTTTTCTTCTTGTTTCAGTGATGAAGGTTCGGAGATTTTAAACAAACGTCTTACGTTGTGACGATGAACGGATCAGACTGTGAAACCCTGAAGAACTCAGAGGTTTTCATCTCCTGGAGGATCAAGGATGAAAAGCTGCTGTTTGTAGTTTCACCGTCTTTAAAATCCTCTTTTCACAGATTAGAGTCAAAGAAAAACCTCATCAGTGAAACGAGATTCTCCTTCAGACAAACAGAGTCAAGTATAAAAACGTGGAGACGGACTCATGACGATTGTGAGGAAGTTAAATTAATAATCATCTGAAGAATCAGGAAGCTGCTTCTGATTCTTCACTCGGATGTTTTGATCTTTAGTTTTAAATTATTTCTGTTTGATTTGATTGTTTTCACATATTTGTGATATTTTACAAATCTCTGGAGTTAGTGAAGCTGTGTGTGTGTGTGTGTGTGTGTGTGTGTGTGTGT